ATCATCACGTTTTAAGTGACAAGGACAACTTATTAAACGTTTTAAGCGCCAGGGACAATTTATTAAACTTTTAAGCGACAAGGACAACTTATTAAACATTTTAAGCGACAAGGACAACTTATTAAACATTTTAAGCGACAAGGACAACTTATTAAATGTTCTAAGCGACAAGGACAACTTATTGAACGTTCTAAGCGACAAGGACAACTTATTAAAAATTTTAAGTGACAAGGACAACTTATTAAATGTTCTAAGCGACAAGGACAACTTATTAAATGTTCTAAGCGACAAGGACAACTTATGAAACGTTCTAAGTGACAAGGACACTTATCAAATGTTTCAAGTGTCAAGGACACTTATCAAATGTTTTAAGTGACAAGGACAACTTATCAAATGTTTTAAGTGACAATGACACTTATCAAATGTTTTAAGTGACAAGGACAACTTATCAAATGTTTTAAGTGACAAGGACAACTTATCAAATGTTTTAAGTGACAAGGACAACTTATCAAATGTTCTAAGTGACAAAGACAACTTATCAAATGTTTCAAGTGACAAGGACAACTTATAAAATGTTTCAAGTGACAAGTACAACTTATCAAACGTTTCAAGTGACAAGGACAATTTATCAAATGTTTCAAGTGACAAGGACAATTAATCAAATGTTTCAAGTTGCAAGGACAACTTATCAAATGTTTCAAGTGACAAGGAAAACTTATTAAACGTTTTAAGTGACAAGGACAACTTATAACATGTTTCAAGTGACCTGGACAACTTATCAAACGTTTCAAGTGACAAGGACAACTTATCAAATGTTCTAAGTGACAAGGGCAACTTATCAAATGTTCTAAGTGACAAGGGCAACTTATCAAACGTTTTAAGTGACAAGGACAACTTATAAAATGTTTTAAGTGACAAGGACAACTTATAAAATATTTCAAGTGACAAGGACAGCTTATCAAATGTTCTAAGTGACAAGGACAACTACCAGACCAGACTATTAAACGTTTTAAGTGACAAGGACAACATATTAAACCTTTTAAGTGACAAGGACAACTTATTAAACGTTTTAAGTGACAAGGACAACATATTAAACGTTTTAAGTGACAAGGACAACTTATAAAGTGTTTTAAGTGACAAGGACAAATTATAAAACGTTTTAAGTGACAGGGACGCTTAAAAAATTAAATATCAAGGCTCCATAATAAACATCGTTCAAACAGAAGTCAAAGGGGAAATAGCAAAATAGAGATTAATCAGAATTAAAAGTCTACTAGTAAGCATCAGAGGGAAAATCAAAGTCAAAATTTTGAGAAAATGCATCTTTACTGTAGCAACATACAAACTAAACTAAGTCGTGGATTAACTCACAGCACTTAGGTTTAAAATAAAAAAAGGGAGTGGAAAGGAAGGGGGGGGGGGGGGGGGTAGAGGTGGTGTTGGTACATGGTATAGCATGATTTTTAGAATTTCATGAACCAAGAAAAGCAGAAATATAGACATCTCAAAAGTCAACTAAGTCTGGTCAGTAAACTGCATTTTGTTTCGGAGACTATAATATTTAGGTCATTTCAAGCGTAAAGACGAATTATGGGGCAAGGGGGGGGGGGGCGTAAGGTATGGTACCAGGAAAGATGGACCGGGAGGGAGGAGGGGACCTGCAAGACACTGATATGTGACACATTGCATAGGAAATTGCACAAGGCGGGAAAGCTGACGAGATAGTTTCCTTCCGGCAGATGAGAGCGACGTTCTACAAACAGCCTACCATACGATGATGTTGATGATGATGATTGATTGCATCTCCTTTACGGGACGTTGCAATCCATCGCCGGGCGTGCTTAGCTGTTGTGGTTTTACTGGGCACATGATGTTCAATAGGTTGCTTTTGCTTTTTAAACGATCGGTGCTTGATACCATGGTCGAAATCTTTTTCTTAGCATTCGCCGACTGTACACTTTAGCGAAAAGATCTGGTTCTTTGTCTACTTCTGGACTTCAGTCTTGTCCCACAACTTGAATTTTGAGTGCACATCCGTTTTACATACGGATTACTTGCGTGCAGAGTTTTGGTTCTTGGCCAATTAGACACAGGGGTTCAAATATTAAAGAAAAAAAATTCCTATTTAGTTGCAATTTACATTTTTTTGTTAAGAAAGCAGCTGATCACTTCCTTGTTCGAACAAAAAAGGACCCTGGAATACACACGGGCAATTGTTGAAATCAATGTGGAGCTGTCTGCTGCCTAAAAGCTTACAGGTACACATTAATTTAGAATGATGAGCATCGCTCGTAGCCTGTAAGCCACAGACGCCGATTGTAGTAGAGACATACATTAAAAAAAAAAAAAAGAAGTAGAGAGACATAAAGAAACGAAAAGTAGAGAAAGAAACCAGAAGCAGAGAAAGACAAAAAGAAACGAAAAGTAGAGAAAGATATAAAGAAATTAGAAGTAGAGAAAGACACAACGAAATGAGAATAGAGAAATATTCAAAGAAATG